AGCAGCAGCAACAACAACAACAGCACCCACAGCAGTAGCAGCAATGGGAATGGGTAAGAATCACCTGACCAAACAAACGCCCCAGAATCAACTAGGAATCACTTGACATAACAATTCCATGATGTCGTTGTGGAAAGGCGGCTCTCTTCTCTTTTACCCAACTCTAGTATCCTTGAGAGAGTCAAGGTACTTCTGAGTGCATGATTTGAGGCACTTGAACCTGTTGCTACATTGTTTAGCTCGTGGCAACCATTATCATTTTTCGATTCCGGAATGAGAATGCTCATTCCAGCATGTGAGGTGGAGTGATCATTCTCCAAAAAGAATCATTCTCAGCGAATCCCATTCTGGAATGGAACCAACCTAGTGGAATTTTTGACCAAACAAACGGGCAAGAATGATTCCAAGTGATTCCAAGTGATTCCCATTTGGGAATGCGACCAACCAAACGTAACCCTAGATTACACCTAAATCATCAAATGGCACTGGAGCATGCACTGTGTGTGCGGGGGAACGCTGGTCACTCAATTTTATTACTGCACCCGAAACCTGGCAGGTCCCTGACACCGAAATGTCACTACACCTAAAATTACACGTTATACAGTGCAGTGCCTGTGTATATCAACAGTACCTTGCTCTGTTTGGCCCAACTTGCTGATCACCTTCTAAACTACTTGAAGTGCCTTGAGTGCTTGACATACCTACAGCATGAATAAACAAACAAACAAACCAACAAATGCAAACAGAATTCCTTACCCTTTGGCTTCTTCACCCTCAAACGTGGCAAGGAAGAATGGCACGGGCAATGCAATGCGGGCATACAAATTATCTTCAAAGTTTGACCCACCATAGTGGTGGATAGATACGGCACGACCTGATGACCTGAAGGCAGCAGATCTCTGCGCGGAGAGCGCTCTCCAAGCTGCAGGAGATAGACTAACTTGACTTGTTTTTGTTGTTACAGTTGAACATCGATTATCCGCACATCGACTATCCGACCATTCGATTATCCGTACAGTTTCTTTGGGCGCACGTGCCGTAGAGTACGCACTGTGCATGTAGTGAGCCATTCAAAAAATACGAAAATTTTGAAAAGTAGCACTCTATTCTATTTACAATGTACATGTACATGTATTTACAGTGTGTTTTCTTATCCGGAACATTTGCCTTATCTGAACACCGCCTGACAGTTGTCTGCCCAGAGGTGGTCGGATAATCGATGTTCAACTGTATTTCTTAAGGTGCGCAAGCTCCACTGCAGCCACTTTATTACATGAAAAAAACCGACACACACCATCCTCTAATCAAGTGGTCTCTTCGCTGCAAATTGCAATAATTATCTCAATCAAATTTTCAACCAGGACCCATCATCCTGATAACTTGCAGCGGAGAGACCACTTGATTTGAGGAGGGTGTGTGCACTGTGCAAGGTTTTTATAATGTATTGTTATATTATTGCGATGAATAAGACTGATTGTGCACTCATATATAAGTTTTATTCATTGCTATTTTACGACTATTGTCTCCTCATCGGTTATTGTTATATCATTGACCCATTTTATGGTCAAAAGCGAGAATTGTTTGCAACTCCCTATGGAATGGTCTTCCAATTATGTTTCTGAAGTCTTGATTCTCCGAAAGCAAGCCGTAACAAGAATAGGACTTCCGCCAGGTTTCGCCCTCCAAATACTAAATTTAGAAACCATGTAAATCTCCGCATGATATTTACAGCACACACTTCACATGAGTATATTGTGCGGTTTGAACACGAGATGAGGTGACTATGTGAGTTCCACGGTAAACCGGATTTCAAAGCAATAAAATTATGTGGACTAGAATAGTGGCAAGAATGAACTCGGATGGAGAGCCAAGGATTATTGATAAAAAGTAAAAAGGACCAAGGAACTACAAGTTACACTATAATGTCCACTAACACCACACTAACACCATCAGTTACTAAACAATCAGCTCATGCGATAACAATGCAATGCATTGATTGTTTAGTAACTGGTGGTGTTAGTGAACACTACTAGTATATTGTAACTTGTAGAATAGTGGCACTTAGACTTACTTCCACCACTGTCCTTTGTACGCAGACCCTTGGTTTTCTGGCCAACTAGCTTCCTGCAGAGGATTACCACCAGCAATAGGCAACACACAATACAGAAGATCAGCATGCTGTCATTTAAACACGCACGCGCGCGCGCACACACACACATGCGCACAAACACACACACACACACCCACGCAGACGCGTGTACACACACACACACACACACACACACACACACACACACACACAGGCGCAAAATTCACTGCTTCGCCGTGGCAGAGGGCATGACAATGACAAGGCATGAGTGACAAAGAAAGTGGAAGCGCAGTAGAAAAACAACTAGGAACGCCATTTTGCCAGAATCTCCATGCCGCTTTACTAGTATCCACATACCGTTTTACTAGCATGTGCATGGCATTTTACTAGCATTCACATGGCATTATACTAGCATTGGCATGGCATTTCCACGTAGCATTCACACGCTCGGCTCACCATGCTCCCATTTTGCTCAGTGTGTTCTTGACAGCCATTTGCTGCTGAGGGCTGAGAGGGGGTTGCGGTGCGGGCGACGGGGAACGCTGCCTCTGCGGCGACGGGGCGCGACGCAGCGAGCCCGTCAACGAAGCCAGTGACCAGCGGTTCGGCTGCTTGGCGTGCTGCTGGTTTGGGCCCGCCGCTTCGGCTGTGTGCTGCTGTGATGCATGCGAGCCACGGCGGCTGGCGTGTGATGGCGACATCCTCACGTCCACGGCGCCGTCCTCTTTCGGCGGCTCAGCGACGGACGGCTGTGTTACAACGATACGGTTGCTAGTCGTGGGAGAGGTGGCGGCGCTAGCGGACGCCGGAATGAAATCGTTGCTGACCAGTGGGGACGGCCGTGATTGCTGGCTGCCTGACACACGCCTTGGCTCCGTGTCGAACTGAGGCAGTGTGCTCACAGTGGATGAGGGCAGAGTAACCATGTGGTCGGGACTCATGGCTTCGTGAAAGGAGTTTGCACGATGGTTTCCCGGCTCACTGTTGGCCGGGCGTCAGAGCGATGTGAGATGAAGCAATGGCGAGGAGGTGTAATGGAGATGGCAGTGGCGTGGAGAGAGAGAGAGAGAGAGAGAGAGAGAGAGAGAGAGAGAGAGAGAGAGAGAGAGAGAGAGAGAGAGAGAGAGAGAGAGATGGCAGGGTGACATGTGGAAAGAAAGCAGACAGGCACACATACATACACACGCACACACACATACAGCAGTTGAAGTGGTTTTGTTCCAATGAAAAAAATTTCCCCGAGCACAGTAGCTCCTAAGGCTGTGAATAAGAAAGACTTTCCATTCCTTCAACTCATGAAAGACATAATGTCTTTTTTGTTTCCAGAGGAAGTAGTGATTTCGATGACACAACACAACATGGAGCTGTAACTTACTTCAGTCTGCTAATGGATGGCCTCGGTGATAAGGATGATCTGCGTCTCATCCTGAATATCAAAAATAAAAACAGTACAAAATATTTTAGAACTCAGATGGTGAGCTATTAAAGGAAAAAATTGTAGTGCTGGCATTTCAGGCATGCCCAGACAGCGGGTAGCTTCGAACATACCGACTGGAGGTGCAGCTGGTGTTTCAGGACCGGTGGAAGCAGTTTTTGGCTGGTCCGGCCAGTCGTTGTGTACGATATGGCGGGTATAACATGACCTCCTCAGCAGTAAACATACGTTGGTGGGCAAAAAAAGTTGGTCCGGCCATGGCCTGATCAACGGGGAACCAGATCGGTTGTGCCTGGCCTGTGTTTCATTGGCGACTCCAACAGTACTCGTATAGTGTGGTGAGAACATTGACCAATGTAAGTGGAAAGAGGGTGTCAGGCCAACCACGGCAATACTTCAAGCAAGTCGTGAGTCAGTCAAGTGTCAAGTAAAGTCGGCGGAATAGCGCGAGCTCCGGTGTGGGGAGCAAACCCTTTCTTACAAGTTTCACAAATTATTAAATTAACCGTTTATGTAAGGGAAAAATGTGTGCAGACTTAATTTGATCTCGACTCAACTCAAATTCCATAATTCTCCGGGTCATATCCTTGTGGTCTCCTTTGGACGATTTTTCAATCTTGGGCTTCCTGGAAAGCTCGTCGCAAGAGGAACACATGGAGCCCACACTTGTCACCACGAAGGTCAAAACGCCAGCGCTAAAGCCCAGCGTCTTAGTTGCAACGCCAATATTCCGAGAGAAATCGTCTTGTATCAGCCATTTCGCTCTCCTTGCTCGCAACAATTTCAAAAAATTCACAAACTGCCACGAGTCTGTTTGCCATTTTGAACGTTTTTTTACGTCACTACATATACTCCGAATGATGGGGAAATCCCTGATCCAAATGTTACTAAGCTTAGATTCCGGAAAATACGGGTACAGTGCATGATTGCACTAGCATTACACAGACTGTTAATGCAGCTAGCACAGGATACTCACATCTGATCACCGTCCGCCGTACCAAGACCCATCTCTTCGTCAGCGAATGCAGTCTCCCGCTCCGGCATCATGGGACTAGATACAGCCGGATTGGCCTCATCGTCGTGTCGAACAAAGTCAGCCTTTGTCTCGTCATGCCTACACAGCGGTGGCATGGAGAGATGTGTGCCAGATTGCAAGAAAACAAAGAGAGAAAGAGAGAGAGAAAGAGAGAGAGAGAGAGAGAGAGAGAGAGAGAGAGAGAGAGAGAGAGAGAGAGAGAGAGAGCGAGAGAGAGAGAGCGAGAGAGAGAGAGAGAGAGAGAGAGAGAGAGAGAGAGAGAGAGAGAGAGAGAGAGAGAGAGAGAGAGAGAGAGAGTAGAGAGAGAGAGGAGAGAGAGGAAGAGAGAGGAGAGAGAGAGAAAAATGGGGGAGTGAGACCTGGGTAAGTCAGAGATACCAGTAAGCCTAAGGCAGTGGGGACAAGGTACATATTGTAGGAAACAATACAGGGCTAAATCCAACAGAGACCAAAAACGAGATCCATTTCTCGCCCAACAAAGGCTAGTCCTCTTTTGCACATCGACCGCTTTGTGGGTGATCAGCATTTGCTTGTGCAAGAATGTGGCAATGACGAAACACTAGCACGAACACCAAACATATTGACACTAGCACCAGCACCAATAGGCCACTTGAACATAGGTCCAGTGTGCAGCAGATAATCATTGTTACGATTACGTAATATCAATCAAATGTAGATTTAATCAAATGTAGATTTAATCAAATGTGTTATACTACGCATGCATCAACGTCAATTGGCAAAACTTGCCAAGAAGACACATCTACTTCAGCTACTATCGGTATTGAACGCTTTCGTCCCTTCTTATCAGGATACTACAGGGAGTTTATAGTAAAGAAAAAAGGACCAAGAAACCAGTTCAGTAACTGGTGGTGTGGGTGGACATTATCACGTAGCTTGTAGTTTCTTGGTCCTTTTTTCTTTACTATAAATTTATCCTTGGCTCTCCATCCGAGTCCATTCTTGCACTACAGGGAGTGATAGTAATTTCACCATTCCTGGCAGCACTTTGATAAAAAGGGAACAAAAACGTTCAATAAGGATGAGGTTTATAACCACGTTAATTTCGTTAAGCATCTGGGGCTAATTACATTTCATTCCGGACTACAATTCGTCTACACGCGCTTACTGAACTGCGGCAATTCATGAGCATCATTAATTTAATCTTTCTCATCCTGGCCAAGGTCAATTTAAAGTTAAAACAAAGGAGATTATACTGGTTTCTTGCTACGCCATTCACTTACGAATACTTGCTCTTACACAGCACTCCACGGTACTTGAACACAACGCTACAACGCCACATAGTCACGAGACAGCACTTGGCCACCATTCGCACTCAGAGTTCCCTGTCTATCATGTTCACTGCTTTCGTTTTATCTGGTTGAAAGTTATTTAGTTTAGTTTTGCTGTTTGGCTTTGAGTTCACTGATACGAAAGTCAATAGTTTTGGTTTGAGGTTTTATTTAGTTTGCACTTTGAGAATTATAATTTTTGGTACAGTCATGTGTTATTTGAACTTATTTCCTGATTTCTTCAGTAGTTTTGCATAGCATCTATATTCATTGTGTTTGGTTCGCCCGTAAAAGAGAAGCGAGAGCAGCTAGAGAAAGAGAGAGAGAGAGAGAGAGAGAGAGAGAGAGAGAGAGAGAGAGAGAGAGAGAGAGAGAGAGAGAGAGAGAGAGAGAGAGACAGAGAGAGAGAGAGACAGAGAGAGAGAGAGACAGAGAGACAGAGACAGACAGACAGAGAGACAGACAGAGACAGAGAGACAGACAGAGACGGAGAGACAGACAGAGACAGAGAGACAGACAGAGACAGAGAGACAGACAGAGACAGAGAGACAGACAGAGAGACAGAGACAGCTGCAGCCCCAGCCACCACACCAAGCTACCCCCATGCTTACTCTGGTGCTAAGGGTAAGTAATCAGTATCCCTGAGGTATACGAGGTAAAGGAACAAGGAAAACGAACAAGAAATTACAGCAACAGAAGAAGAAAAACAACGAGGGTAGAACAGAACATTAGCTTGTCAGTCAGACCTGTCAGATGTTAAATATCAACAAAGCCATCAAGGTGCCAGAAACCTTTACCCAACCCTCGAACACAACCTTAGCAAGAGGCGTTAGAATAAGGCAGTTCCAAAGTGTCCATACAACGATTCATGACGAAATTTATCGGAGCAAAGCAAGTTCAGATTTCTGTGTCATCAAAAGATTCAGGTCAAAATTAAACGGAGCAGGTTCAGATTTCTGTGTCGTCCTAATGGTGTTCTTTATTTTTATTTTACTTCACCAGATACATAGACATTTCTGCCTTCTCGTCTAACCATATGACTAGAAAGGAATTCGGGTGGACACACCCATTCCCATAGCGCTGCACATCCGAACCAGTTCCGTAATTTTACAACGTTTCGGTACTTGGCCATCGTCAGGTAATAACAATGAATATCAAGGCCAAGTACCGAAATGTTGTAAAATAACGGAACTGGTTCGGATGTGCAGCGCTATGGGAATGGGTGTGTCCACCCGAATTCCTTTCACAGATGAAGCTGCAGGAAGCCTCAGCCCTTCTTCACATGACTAGACGCTCAATAATAAAAGACGGACGTGCCAACCCAGTATCTGGTTCTACAGCTGAAACTACAGGAAGTCACTCAGCATTTTTTCTTCTTCACAGCATTAGTTCACACTCTGACTGTACCGCGAGACGGCAAGTCTGATTGGTACTGCATCTGCTCTCCAGGGAGCAGTAGCATCTACTAGGAAGACCGGATATTTTAACGTCAATTAAAGTTAACGATCTCCGGATTGTTGTGGGTTAGCGAGGTGAAATGCTAACGAATTCTGTCTCAAAACCGGCAAATGACTGTATTTGCACATAACGACTTCAAATGTTAACGATTTTTTAATTCGTTAAATCGTTAGAATTAAATGTAGCTTTCTCTTTTGTATAAATTAAATGTTCGTTACCATTACTGGTCTTACAATACTAGGTGTAGGGAGACGTCACGAGATCACAGTATTACTGCCCGAAAAAATGTGTGTTTTTCGTCAACCGTGTGATCAATAGAACAAGCGATCGCGATTCAAGCCGCGATCTGCCAACCCGAATGGCGGCCCAGACCGCAGCCCTGCACCAAAGGCGGTTGGAATGAACGCGCGCGCGCGGAACCCACCCCGTTTCACGATATACATGTACATGTACTCGCCCAGTGTGGTCTCTCCAAATGCTACGACTCCCTGGTGTTCTCAAAGAGTGAACGTTGGGCTACCAATTCACCATACTAGTCAACGCAATCAATAAGCCCATTGCGCATTGCCAAATATGGAAGGTATGAGTAATGCATGTGAGTACACTGGGATCTGCAATGCACTGTTCAACACTCCAGACGACCATGCCCAGGTGGCTGTGTGGGGTGTTGATGGTACAAATTACGTCACTGTGCAATGGGCTTATTGCTCACTAGCAGGAAATCGTAAAATACCGGTATTTTACGACTCCCTGCTCACTAGTGTTACCCAAGACCGAGCACAGATTTCGAAAAACAAAGCTCATTGTCGATTTATCATGATCAAATCACGTTTAAAGAGTTGGTGGACAAAAAAAAAAAAAAATTCACAGTTCGCGTGAGACTCGGCTGGAAGCCGGGCTTTCCGCATCCGTAGGAACGCCACCACCCTTCAAGGATCAAGGCGCAGATGCAGCTCCTAAAGCGGTGGGAGGTGAGTAGATCAGCTCACCAGCAAGTGGCCAAAGACCGAAAATCCCATTCACTGCATCCATGTTTTCCTCGTGCCAGGCCACGAGTTCCCAGTTAACTGTGGACAAGCCGTTGATTATTCACTCTCATTGTAATATCAAAAAAGTATTCTTTCTAGACCAAAGAGTGGTATATTTGATAAAATTTAATAACGATAGAAATATTTACGATACTTCTCCAGACGTTTCGTTGTTCAGAACAACGAAACGTCTGGAGAAGTATCGTAAATATTTCTATCGTTATTAAATTTTATCAAATATACCACTCTTTGGTCTAGAAAGAATACTTTTTTTCAAATCACGTTTTTTAACTTTTCCAAGTCAGGACAGCGTTTGTAAGTGTCCAGATTTCCAAGCTCTGCTGCTCCACCAAGACAGTCAGGAGAAGGACAATTAGATGTTAGGGCGGATCATCAAGTCAGTCAGCGGGAAGGAGTAGCAGTCAGCCCAGCATATCATCAAGATGGTCAGCAGAAGGACAGCTGGCAGCTCAGCACAGCAGTGGGACAAGCAGGGGAAGGACAATTAGCTGGATGACAAGGCACATCACCAGAACAGTCTGAGGAAGGACAGTCAGGAGAAGGCCAATCAAATCAGAGAGGAGACAGTCACTAAAGAACACAAGTTGACGGTTACGTCAATGCTACTTGCCCGAGAATGTATTCAGAGGATGCCCAACTTTACACGGAGACGGGAGAGGATGGGGCACATACAAACATGCACGCACACAATAAGAACACCCAAACAACACACGCATACAGGCACACACATGCAGACACACACACACACACACAGACACACACACACACACACACACACACACACACACACACACACACAAGCACACGCACCAATGCACACAAAATGGGGATTTAGTCTTTTAGACAAACCTCCCCAAAAGTGTATTGATGTAGGGTCCATACAAACACTGGATCTAAGCAGATCCTAAAGCCAACGTTGTTATGACTCCATGCTGGTTGTGACGCATCACGTCCAAGCCCTATTAGCAATCACAGGCTCTTTCTAGCCGCTTTCTGTCGGTAGATTAGCTTTACTCCACTCATCGCCAAACTCAATGGCCGATGTTACATTGAACAGAGTTGACAAGGCCATGACAACAACAGTGTCATCAAGTCAGTTGGCAACGGCAGGACCCAGTCAAGCAAAGCCCCTTTCAAGCAGGATCCAGTCAAGCAAAGCCCTTTTCAAGCAGGATCCAGTCAAGCAAAGCCCTTTTCAAGCATTGCTCCGCATCTTGGAATCGTCATCCCCACGCTGCCGCTCAGTCGCAGCTACCAAGAACAGCATCCGCAGCAAGATAACAGTTTGTAACCATACCGGCCACTGCACGCGAAGAACTTTCCCTTCGATGGAGACGGAGATTTCTGAGACTTCCAGGCAACAGCCTAGCAATTCACCAAACACACGTAAGACACTTGGTAGCAAGCAACTACATGCACAATCATTCATGCACCACCGAAGATCCTCCACAGGGTGTTACTATCTCGTTGTTCGGGGTCATTCGTGCAAAGTAAGCTTTCTAAAATAATGTACTTTAGGCCACACTACAAAAAACGTGGGACAGGCAAATTTCACACATGAACACACGCTGCGCACGCGCGTGCACACACACACACACACATGGATGCGCATACAACACAGAGGTCAGCTCACGGGTCAGCCTC